AAATCCATGCAAAATTTCTTAATATATCAAGTTTTATTTGTTTACATAATTTATACTTATTAAAAATACATGTATATCATTATTATTTAAATTACTTGTACAAGTAAATTGTTTAACTGTGCAATCTACATCTAATCATATAAGACACAAGTTAATATAACCTTAATAATTGGTGTTATAATGCAGATTCTATCACATTTATATTTTTTTTGACACTTCGTTACAAGTTATATGTAATAGATTTAGAAAATCTTCTATATAATTCTTATCATACAATCATATTATTATTATTATTTTATGTAATATAATATTATTCTACTATATTATATAATTATATGAAAGCATTAATTATTTTTTAATTGTTTCTATATTATTATGTAATGATATTAAAAACCTGATTGATTATTACTTTTTTTTACTATAATTCAATATATATAACATATTTAATATTATATTTGGTATTTATATTTAGTGTAATATTCAAATGTATAAATGTTACTTATATACAATATAAGGTATTTGGTATTTAAATTATAAAAAAATACACATTTTATTATTTATTACTATTCATATCATATAATCTATCATATTAAAATAACATAAATAAATTTCTAATCCAAATGGCTTCAATAGACCAAATAAATAATAGAAGTGAAACTTCTAATGATCGTCAAAAAAGATTAAATCAGATTAGACAAAGAAATTACAAAAGAAGGCGTATTAATAATAATATTGATATTCGTTATGACTTAGGAAGTATAAATCAGTTATGCTTAAATTGTGGTGCCAAGTTTTGGATGGATGAAAAAATCAAAGGAGCATACAGATTTCTCCTATTTTTTCTGTATATTATGTTAATGGAAAAGTTAGATTATTGCCTCTGCTTAACCCACCTCCATATTTGATGAATCTCTATACTTCATCAGAATCTGAAGCTAATTCTTTTCGTAAAAATGTTAGAAGTTATAACAGTTTATTAGCTTACACATCATTTGGTACTAATGTAAATGATGAATTTCAAAGTAAAGGAGTATCTAATTTCAGCATTCATGGTCAAGTTTATCATCTTATTGGACCATTATTACCAAAAGAAGGACAAGTATCTAGATTTGCTCAACTATATATATATGATACTGAATATGAAATTAGAAATTGTCTTAATCTTATGCAAAATTTAAATGCAACAATTCTAAAAAACTTACAAAATATGCTTAATATAATCAATCCCTATATTCATATTTTTCGACAAGCACGAGATATTTTTCAGACATCTGAAACTTCTAATATATCAATGCTAATTCATAATAATCGTATACAAAATTTATATAGTTATAGTGTACCTACATCATCTGAAGTTGCAGCACTTATGATAGGAGATAAACATGATATTGAACCATTAAATCGTGATATTTTGCTTAAAACTCGTGAAGGAGGTTTACAAAGAATATCTGAACTGCATCCCTCTTATGATGCCTTGCATTATGTATTATTATTTCCAAAAGGTGATGATGGTTGGCATACTGATATTCCTCTTACAGAACCTGGAGCAAGAAAAAGAGTAACACAAATGCAATTTTATTCTTACAGATTACAAATTAGGAATGGTGACTGAATACAAAATGCTGACCGATTATATCAGCAATATATTATTGATCAATATGCTAAAATTGAGCAAAATCATTTAAATTACTTAAGACAAAATCAGTTAGAACTTAGAACTGAATTTTATCAAGTAGCTATAGATGTAATACATGCAGGAGATAATACTAATAATATTGGATGTCATATAATTCTTCCATCAACTTTTTCTGATAGATCACGATATATGTATCAATTATATCAAAATGCAATGGCAATTATACGTCATTTTGGTAAGCCTAATCTTTTTATTACCTTCACATGTAATCCAAAATAGCCCGAAATTATACAAAAATTATTACCAAATCAAATTGCTGCTAATAGGCCTGATTTAACTACTCGAGTTTTTCATATAAAATTACAAGAAATGATGAAAGATCTGTATGAAAGAAATTTACTTGGAAAAGTTATTGCATATATTTATGTAATGGAATTTCAAAAACAAGGATTACCTCATGCACACATCTTATTAATATTAGCTTCTGAAAATAAAATTCATTCAATAGAAGAATATGATTCAATTATTTCTGCAGAAATACCTAATCGTGAATTAAATCCTTTAGCTTATGAAACTGTGACAACTATGATGATGCATGACCAATGTGATATATTAAATCCATCATCACCATGTATAAAAGATGGTAAATGCCAAAAGTATTATCAAAAAAACTTTCAAGAAATTACACAAGAAAATTCTGATGGATATCCAATTTACTATTGACAATATGATAGTCATTATGTAGAAATTAGAAATGGAATTCAGTTAGATAACCAATGGGTTGTTCCTTATAATATTAAATTAGTAGAAAAATATAATGCACATATAAATGTTGAAATTTGCAATTTAATATTAGCTATTAAATATTTATATATATATGTATATAAAATTCATGATCGTGCAACTGTAGCATTTTCTCAATCTATTAATAGAATAGATCAGGAGGCAATAGGTACAAATGAATTAATTGATGAAATTAAAATGTATTTAGATGCACGATATGTTTCATTGTCTGAAAATATATGGAGAATTTTTCATTTTAAAATGCATGGACGTAATCCAAATGTACAAAAATTAGCAGTTCATCTTCCAAATCACCAAACAGTTACATTTTCTGAAGAAGATAATTTGTATGATATAGTTAATAATGAAACTAGATATAAAACTACTTTAACAGCTTGGTTTCAAGAAAATATGAATAATATTGAAGCACAAAATTATAAATATACTGACTTTCCAGTATATTATACTTGGAATGTAAAACTTCACAAGTGGAATTGTAGAAAAAATGCAACAGAAGTAATAGGAAAGCTATATATGGTTTAACCTATAGAAGGTGAATGATATTACTTACGAATATTACTTACACACGTAACAGGTGCTACTTCATTTGATAATTTAAAAACTGTTAATAAACAGATATGCAGAACCTTTAAAAAAGCTTGCACTTGCCTTAGACTTCTTCAAAATGATAATGAATGGAATACATGTCTATATAAAGCAAGTAATATGCAAACAGGAAAGCAATTACATCACTTTTTTGTTATGATTCTTCTTATGTGCCAACCTTTAACACTAGAACAATTATAGAATACTCATAAATTAGCATTATGTAAAGATATTTTATATGATGCACAGCAACTTACTCCTTCACAAACTATTATATTAAATGATACAATAGAAAATGAAGTATTAAACCAAATAGAACATTATCTTCAATCAAATGGAATGTCGCTAAAAAATTTTCCTCATATGCCAATTCCTTCAATACAAAATATTCATTCTAACTTTGCTAATAATAATTTAGATCAATTAATTTATGAAGAAAGATCATATGATACCATTTATTTGACAGAACAAGTGCGTCAAAATGTTCCTCTATTGAATAAAGAACAGCATTCAATATATAACAAAATCATCCAAGCAATTAATAATGAATGTGGTTGTTTCTTTATCGATGGTCCAGCTGGTAGTGGAAAAACTTTTCTTTACAATACCTTACTAGCTAATGTTAGGTCACAAGGTGACATTGCAATAAAAGTAGCATCTTCTGGAATTGCTGCATTATTAATGAGTATTGGTAAAACAGCACATTCTCAATTTAAAATTCCATTTAAAATAGATGAATTTTCAACATGTAAAATTTCTCGTAATGATAAATTAGCACATTTAATTAATATAGCAAAGCTTTTTATTTGGGATGAAGCTCCTATGATGCATAAGTTTGTATTTGAAGCAGTTGATTGAACATTTCGTGATATTACACAAGTAAACAAACCATTTGGTAGAAAGATATTTGTTTTTGGAGAATATTTTCAACAATTCTTACCCATTATACCACATTCACTTTGTGCTGATATTGTTTTAGCAAGTTTAATTCGATCATCTTTATGGATTCATATTAAAATGATGAAATTATTAACAAATATGAGACTTCAACAAACCTCTAATCCATTAGAAAATCTGAAACAAAAGCAATTTGCAGAATTTCTTTTAAAAGTTGGTAATAGAACATATACAATTAATCCTAATACAGAAAATATAATAACACTTCCTTCAGATATAACAATACATAAAGGAACTCTAACAAACCTAATTGATTTTGTTTATCCAGATTTGATTGAAAATTCTGGCAATGCTAATTATATGGTTAGCAAAGCAATCTTAACTCCTAAAAATATCAATGTTGAAATTATTTCAGATATTATAATGAAAAGAATACCTGGTGAAGTTATTTTATATCCCAGTGCTAATTTAGTAAATTTACCAGATGATAGTACAGTAGAACAACCCCAAACTTATTCACCTGAATTTTTAAGATCTTTAAAAATTCCTGAACTTCTTCGAAGTTAAAGTTAGGAATACCAATCATTCTCCTACGAAACTTAAATCCATCAGAAGGTCTTTGTAATAGAACTAGACTAATTTGTTGTGGGTTTCAAAGTAGAGTTATTGATGCTGAGATTATAATAGGATCACATATTGGTAAATGTGTATTTATTATACATATTACATTAACTCCATCAAAAACTAAATTACCCTTCATTTTAAATCGGCGTCAATTTCCTATATGTATTGCATTTTCAATGACAATCAATAAATCACAAGGACAAACTTTAAACAGGGTTGGTATTTATTTATCTCAACCTGTTTTTTCACATGGTCAACTGTATGTTGCTCTATCAAGAGTGGCTTCATATCAACATCTTAAAATTCTTATAGATGATAGTAATAATTGCCAAACAAAAAACATTGTATAACATGAAATATTTCATTCTATATAAAATAATGATAACATACTATTAAAAATCACATTTATTTGCTATATAATTATATAAATTATATATATTTATTTTATCTGTTTTATTATCATAATAAATATAAAAAATAATATATAAATTTAATCACAATTATTTTTACTTAAAGCCTGACGCACGCGTCAGGTCACAGCTAGTTTAAAATATATATAATTAAATATTTATAAATTAAATGATATTTCGGATATTAGCACAAAATCTTGTTGAATATTTAGAATTAAATGAGGAAAATCATAATACCATAATATAAAGTTTTTGGGTTATACTAGATGGAAGTTTTGGAGTGTTTTTAGAAATCTGTAAGGTACCGAGCATTGTGGATAATAATTATTCTGATTAACTGCTGCCCTTGCAATGATTAAGATTATTTAATGTGTACTTATGAATTACTTCAAAATTTTGGCAAAGATCAGATTCTAATAATTTTAGTATTTAATAGAAGCATTTGGTTTGGATTTTGCAAAATATAACCGATGGTTAATAAGATTAATTGATTATTTGTTTTACATTAAATTTTTTTAATTAATGGATTTATTTTATAAAGTTCATAGTTCCATATGATAAATAAACTTAAAGAAAGTATACAAATGTAGTTGATGCTTTGGATTCGGCATGGATGCTGTATATTTAAGAAATAATATGTATTTTTACATTTTTAAAATAATTACCGTATTCTTCCGATTTTAAGCACCACCCAATTTTAAGCACCACCCAAACTTTTGGAAAAAAATCTTAAAAAA